CGCCCCCGCAGGGGTCGGCGGATATATACATGCTGCTTACATACGTGTATGTATATGTATATATATATATATATGTGTATCTATAGACAGACAGACCCTCGACTCTGAGCCCGGCACTGGAGGCCTCCCTCAGAGAGCGCTGTTAGCATACTCCCGGAGGTGGAGGGAACAACGTTCAGCGTCGTGTCCTCCACATGGAAGGCCGGCGACTCCTGGCAGCGGCTCAGCAGCTCATGGTATACTAAAGCTGAGCACAGTACAGTATAGATAGCATAATATAGTATAGCATGGTATAATATAGCATCATATAGTACAATATTGTATAGTATAGCATAGTTTAGTTTAGTACGGTGTATATAGTGTAGTATAGTCTAAACTGCGGGCCTTGATCCGGGGAGCCTTGTCCAGAGGCGCATCCACCTCCTCATCCTTCCAACGAGACAGATTTCTGTGACTTCAGACTTGAAGGAAGTGTGTAGCAACACACATGATGATCAGGAAATGGTGAGCACGTTCCAAGAAGCCCACCTCGGTTTTCGCCTTCTTTGCTGGCGGCTCCTCCATGGCGCTTAAGGCACCTGCCCGTCAGAGGCTCAGCCTGTGCAAGCCAGTGCGATAATGGTTACTTGGGTTGTATTTGGCAGCTACTAGTACGGGGTGCGATGTAGGCTGGAGACTGTCTGCAACAAGTACTCGCAAGGTTGATCTGCCAGGATCTGCTCTCCCGGCAAAATAAATGCCGCCTGGCTTAGTGTCTGACTAAGAAGCTTCCGCCCATCTAGGTGACTTGCTGAAATCACTGCTAAGCCCACGCTCACAAACGTGCCTTGACGTTCAACTGCTGTACGATGAGGATTGCACATGAATGAAAAAATGGGACAGCAGAGAGTAACGATGCTACAGGCTACTGGCTCCGGAGGTGCCCAAGCTAGTCAATGGTCAGAACCTAGTAGGTGCGACCAAACGTGTAAGAGCATCTCGGAGTTATGAACATGCATAAGCTGTACAGGATGTGCGAAACACGAGCATACGATAATGCCGGTGTGACGGGGCGTTTTTGTCGGATGCACAGCTATTCTGCGGGTGAGACTTCTTGCGACGAATCACTCGATTCTGGGCGGCGCCGCCCGGAAGTCCACGAGGATCGCCTGCCAGAAAACGCTATCGGCTGTGAAGCCCAATACCACACCTACTTGTACTGTAATACTATGGTAGATACAGGGACTTCCAAAGACGACAACGACGACGATGCCCATGTCACTGAAGATGACGCCGATGAAGATGGCGATGGATGACATGCCACCAATTATCACTATCATGGCGTCAACCAGACTGAAAGGAACGAACACCGGCAGTCGGATGATGCTCCATGCACAAAGGGCAGCATTACTGCGACCGGAGGATAGCAAGCTTGCAAGTGCGATCCCACTTTCCGAACCGAACAGTGGGCCCTTGAAAACACCGTCGCTTTGAAGCACCTGGCCAGGCACGTACAGCCCAAAGATCGGGTAGATTGATTCCCAGTGCTCCAAGGTCTCCGGCAGGAACGTTGATGTACCTCAAGTGGCATAACAGGGAGCCGGTCTGGGCCACGATGTTCCACAGCTTGCAGCTAGGGTGCCAATGCACGTGCCATTGTGAAACCTCGGTGGGTACAGAGACCGCCAACTGTCTCTTCAAGCCGCTTCTTTCGGCTCCTTCATCGAATTCCAAATCCCCTACCGGCTCTGCGTCCGGATTTTGACCAGGCAGCCACTGCAGTGACTTTGAGATCACGTCGTGGCGGACGCCGATCCGCTCACCCTTTCAGAAGCTGACATTACCAGCTGCAGAATCCAAGTAGGAAGATTGCACACATCTTGACCGGTTGCAAGAGCAGCATGGGCGTCCTCGCGGAGCTGTAGCCCGGGCTGCACGTCATGGTCTCCGAGTGCATCCCCGAGCAGGCCGTTGTTGCTGTTGTAGAGCACACAGCACCTAGAAGCAAGCGTGTCGCAAAGAGCTCTGAGCTGCAGAAGATGCTCTTCGCCTGCAAACCGACTTCTACAATTCTGCAAGACTTTGCCGAGCGGCTGCAGCCTGATGGAGTGTGTCTCCGGACCCTGAGGGAGGTGGTTGCAGAGCCCCACAGCTAACCTCAGTTCACGAGAAGCGGAGTACAGCAAGCAAGTTCACCTCCTGACCCTCCTGGATCTTGGGATCGTACTGGGCCCGGTGCCAACTCTAGAAGCTGAGGTCGCAGCCCACCGCGCGCATCTGGGTTTGACAGGACTGTGACCTGGCCCAGCTACCAAAGAGTCCACCTCTACGATTCCAGAGCTCCCTTCTGACATGTGGCACTAAAGAAGCCTCGAAGTAGGAGGCGCTGGAAACCGGCAGAGGGTGCTCTGCGCCGACGACCTGCATGCAATGCAGCTCCGTCAGTTGCATGGTCCAAATCAACCTCGCCCAAAAGGTTCGTGGATGTTCGTGGACAGCGTGGGCAGCGTGCAGCGCATATTTTTGGGTGCCTGCCAACCAGGATGGGTCGCTCGCACCACCTCCACCGTGGCTGGCTCAGGGCCCTGAGCTTTCGTGGAAGACTGCAGCTGAATTCACAGAGGTGCGCCAGCCCAATCGCTCAAGCAAAGCAGGGCCCAGACGTCTGCCGGTTGATCCGCCGCGGGCCGTGTTGCGATGTGAAGGGACGTTCCATGCAGCGGGTTCATGCCTAGGAGGCTTTCACACCACCAAGCATACAGCCGGGCTAGACTAGAGCTGCAGGGGATGGGCGGTCGCCGCATTCAACAATTCGACACAGAAAACTTCTTGGAGATGATGATGAAGGCGATGTAGACGACGAGAGCAGTAGTATGATAATTGGAATTCTCATATTACACTCATTACGATTATTATAACGACGATGAGCACGATGCGGGCAGTTCACGTGATGCATGACGCATCGGCTGCGAAGACCGACAGCCGATCGTGCGGAGAGGAGGAGAGGAGCTTACTCTAGCCTTAGCCCCTTATCTAAGCACTGGGGCAGTTGCGATTCGCTTTCAGGAACGGCCACAGCTTCCAAGCCTCATCCGAGCAACGGCTCAGCCCTAAGATGTGCCAAGAGCGGTTCTCAAGGCTGCTGCCTCGGCCAAGAGCTCCATGTTCCGCCGCTGCACTACTGGCACCACTGGCAAGGGTGCATCCGCGCGCAGGCGTCGATTGCGGAGATACTCGACGACAACACTGAAGCACCTCGGCCAGGTCTTGGGAACCCTGGATTTCCAGCAGACTATCCAAGCTACCCCCAGAAGCATCAGTGGTGAGGATCAGGCTGCGGATTGAAGTCCAAGAAGAAACGACCTTCCTCATCACGCGGGATTTCGTGGATGAAGGTGTCGCTGAACATCTCGGCGAGGACACTGCCGCCTATGCCGCACCTGGGCAAGAGACAGAAAAACACAGGACACTTCAGGCAGCAGAGCTCTCTCCGGGCAGCGGGCATGGTCTGTTTCGGGATTGTGAAGATGTGGCCAGAGCAATTGATCTGAATTACCTGTGTCTCAGACATGTGAACGATGCCAAAAAAAGAAACGACTGCGCCTCCGTCTCCGTCCACATCTTTGACATGTCCTGTACAAATAGCTGGCTTCAGCTTGTGGCAAGTTCAACCTTACATCTTACATAAGTCAGTGAATCACTCCTCACTGAGCTTGTTGAGACGTTGCCACTCAGCATCGATCTTCAGCTTCTCCCGGTAGCACCATTCCTCCGTGTCCTGACTGGAGAGCAGGAAGGGCCAACTCCCAGCATCTCGCTCAGCACATCCGCAGGCATCACTACAATGCAGTCCTGCCGGAGCTTCTCGAGCTCCTCAGTTGTCTGATCACGTTCCTGCAAGCGGGATCTTGCATTAAAGCTCCAACAACACAGGAAGCCCAGTCATGAACCGCAACCACCCGAACCTCGGAAAGGCGCGCCCATGCAGCACGGATTTGCTCCTGCCAGCCGTGCTGAGGCTTCGCATCTTGAGAACTTACCCTTATTCTAAAGTAGGCTCGCTGTGTCCGTGTGTGTGTGTGTGTGTGCGCGTTCTGCGCGATGTCATGTAGTGCACCGCAGTGCAATGCAACGTAATAGCATCAGTGGAATGCAATGATTTGTACTGCACTGCACAGTGATGTAGTGTTCTGTATGTGTGCGTATACATATATATATATATACATATGTATATATATATATATGTATACGTGCAGGTGCACATAGATAGATGGATGGATGGATAGATCGGATGGACAACCGTAGGTAGATGGATAGTTAGATAGGTGCGTACACATTTACCTATAATTCGTCTTTAGAGGTGTATGTACACATATATATATATATATATATATATACATAGTATATATACATATATACAGAGAGAGATACATATAGAGAGAGATGAGCATAGATAGATAGATGTATTTCACATAATATAAATATATACATAGCATTCAGTTTTGCATCTTCAGTTGTATGCAGCCTTTTTTTACACAGATCCATACCTAGGCGTCGGTGTCTATGTGTAAAAGCGGGTCCCGTTCTTGGTCCAGTGAGGCCAGCAGGCGCCGAAAGGACGACTCGATCAGCGCCTCTCGGGAAGCACAGGGCCCAGTTTCGGGTTCAAGAGGGTTTAGGGTTGTTAGGGTTGGGGTCAGTAAACCTCTGAAAGCTTCAGGACACGATGCGGGCACCTCAGGCGCCTCGGGAAAGGCCTGGCTGCACAGCACGCATGCGGGCACGGGTCACGGAGGAAGGGATGCAGCAGTGACTACAATACTGCTTCCTTGTTGCGCAAGCAGAAGGACTTGCATGACTGAAGCCGAACTCGGGGTGGGACCGTTCGGCTTGCCTGCATGTCCTGCATCCAGCGATGCATAAATTTGGCTCCGTGCATGACAATGCTCCCACCTGGCGCAGCAGCCCAAGGGCCTTCTCAGCTTTCCCTTTTCGGGCCAAAAAGAACGAAGGACAAAGGGCCAACAAACTTGCGTAGCGGCTAGTCACGGCTCGACAACTTGTTGCTGCAGTGCTGCATGGCGCTTCTACCCGGCACATGTTTTCCGCGCACGATGACTCTCCCAGCACCATCGGTCGAAGGTGCTGCACATTAACGCCAGCGAAGAAGGTACCAAGTACGCATCGCTAAACTTTGGCTGGTGGCACCCAGTACCTCTTTGCGAAAGGTCTCCGGCCATCCTCAGATCAGACCTTGGCCGCCTTCGCCGCCTGCGCCACGTCTTTGGAAGAGACTGGACCTTCCCACAACCTCTCAAACCGACTGAATACGCATTCTGGATCGCATCAGCCTTCCGCTTCTTGCGAGCTTTGCTTTGCTCCTCGGGAAATCATAGCCCGAACGACAGCTTGAGGGCTTTAGACAAGCCCTTGCTTCAGGCCTGATTCGACTGCGGCACCGCCCTAATTAGCGCAGAACAATTTTGCTATGACGTCAGTGCGACGAATGTCAGTACAGTGCTGGCAAAAGAAGAGTGGCTTATAACTTATAGTGATAACAACTCTCTGCCATGACAACTGATCGAGAAAAGAATGCGCACCGAAGTCATACGATTCCATACCATTGGTTGAATAATAAACGGCTTCCATCATACCACTCAAAGCCCGCTGAGTTCTGGGCGAGCTCCCCCTCGACCTTCGACCGCTCGTTCTCGGCCCTACCTCTGCAGCAGAGAGAACTTCAAGCCAGTGAACTCCTCGCCTTGAGGTCACGAAAGGACGAAGTGAAGACAAAACATGCCCTCGGAACTGTCAAGTGAAGAAGCGGTGTGCTCGATGCCCTGTGTTTGAAGGGGGGCTGAGAGTCCAAGACTCAGACTTTGGCATGTGCTACCACCTCAAAAGACACAAGTCTAGCTACGCATTGCAGCCCACGGGCGCTTGAGCCACTGCGTCCGCTGTTTTGCCAAAGGCGTGGCATCCGGACCGAGTACTAGCAGCTTGCCGGCAGGTGGTGGCTCCTGGCAGTTATGCGAGCAAAGACGTGATTCCAGATTAGTACTTAGTAGCCCTCAGCATGATCCTGCAGCTGCTCACGGAACCGCTGCACTTCTTGGCTGCTCTGCTCCACGGCAGCCAGCAACGCTTTCAGCTGTTTCCTCAAAGCTTCGCTGCGGCAATGCCTGTGCATACCAAGGTGCCCGCACGAGAGCTTCCCAACAACAGGACTTGACTGCCAGCCCTCTTTCGCCCACTTCAGCCATGGGACTTGCTCTGGCGGCGCAGATGCAGGACCTGTGCAGAAGCCGGAAACCCATGTACTCTAATCAGTCTAATCACCCTAATTACCCTAACCACTCTAATTATACCCTATAAACCTTCAAGCCCTAAAGGCCCAGGCAGCCCAGGAGGCTCAATACGCCAAGGCACGACCGGGGCCGAGAGCTCGGGGAAGGACGTGGAGCGGCTCAGCAGGCCGAGGTGGTCGTAGAAGAGGCCCTTTTAAAGAGAGGTTTTAGGGGTTTTAGAAGAGGCCCTAAGTTGGACTTAGAAAGAGCTGACCTCTCATTGGACGAGAACTCTGAATTTAGGGCTCCCTCTCTTTAGGGTTTATAGCGGGTTTCTGACGGTGTTTGGACTTTAGGGGTAAGGGGGCTAGGGTTTTCTGGCGTTTTTTAAGCTCCGGAGCTTCAGATCTGTCTCACAAGAGAAGAATCCCACGTTGTGGAAGGGGTACTTACCGTGAACCACATCACCCTTCCTCACCTCCAGAGTCTCTGGGCCTTCACGTCAGGCCTCAACACTTCACTGCCTGGGCAGACCATCCTCATCTCTGCCCTCTTGTACCTCCCTCGACTAACCACCATTCTCATTCGCAGTCTCGGTTTAGGGCTTCTTGGGGTTCAGCGTTTCGAGTTTGAAGTTGAAAGATGGCTCGCAGTTCGTTTGCGCATAGGGGGTTAAATACCAAGCGGCACAGATCCTCTCTGCCACCGAGACCAGGACTTCTTCACGACCCGGCGAGAGTCGCAGGAGCACCTTCCGTGATTGGAATCAACCACGGGCAGCCACGCCGACGCCGCACCTCCATGTCAGGCGGCTTCCGTTCCGTTTCGCCTGCTTCCTCGTCTTCACCATCTGGGCAGAGAGCAGAACTACAGAACTCGACGCAGTCATACACAGTCAGCGGAGGACGTCTGCCACAGGCCCGGGCCTTGAGCCTTGGATCCCAGCTTCTTCTTCGACTCCAGCTGATGGTGGACGATGTCCAGGAGTTTCCTTGCAACTTGAGCATAGAAGGGACCGCTCACCTAAAAAAATGCGTCCCATTGCGGCCAAGGTTTCAGGAGGTGGCTCGAGAGCGGCACCAGCACCTCGAGACCAGCCGCCAGACGGTTCAGGCAGGTGAGACCGTGGCAGACGAAGGGGAAGCACTGCAGGTTCGTCAGGCGGCTCCTGGCATTTTTGGGGGAATGAAGGCTTGCAGCTTGCACTGCACTAAAATGGAACCAGCCCAGCCAAGGCTCTTGACTGCCCCCAGAATCACCATGAAGAGCGGGTAGGCCAGTGGTTTCAGCGATGGCACCGATGTCACCACCCGGGTCCAAAGGTACATCGAACGCACAAACTGCCAGCTCATCAAGTCCTCGAGCGGCTTCGCCTTGACCTTCCGCCGAGGGGCCTCGCCCTCCTCCTCATCGCAGTTGCGTCCCATCTTTTCTTTTCCAGCCTTCCCCTTTGCAGCTTTCTCTCTCTTCGCGCGGCCCCTTGCCGCCTTGGCCTTCGCCTTGGCCTTGGCGGTCTTAGCTTTGGCCTGCGAGACACTGCCACCCCGTGAAGAAGCCATCGAGGCATTGCGGAGCAGCAGCGCCAGTTGCCGAATCCAGACATACCCCACCCGATAGGAGGTGGCATCATCCAGCCGGAAAAGCTCCAGAATACAGTTCTCCTTATCAACGAGTTGCTGAATCTACAGGCAAGCTAACAAATCTGGTACTTAGAACTTAGAACAACCGACTAGCGGCTAGCGTTTCGACTCAACCGGGGGGCCATGAAGCGGAAGTTGGACACCGAGCGCCACGTGTAGGTACCGGCTGCCGCGCTGGCAAAGGATCTAAGGATGGTGCGGATCAAGGCCTGCGGCTGTGTGCCGGCGACAGCTACCACCAACTGCACTAACCCCAAATTGCATTCACTTCATTCACTTCTCCGGGACTCTTTCCTCCAGGGTGGGGATGCCCCGCAAGTCTTTCGTGGAACCAGGCTTCAGAAGCAGCATGGCTGCAGCATTTCGAAGGAAAAGGAAGCTGAGCAGCCTTGGCAAGAGCAAGGGCAACACGTGTGCACTTTGGAAGGGCGAAATGACGATAAGGCTCCAATTGCCACGGCGGCTACGGCATGGTAGGAAGGTAGCCCCCCACCATGCGCAAAACCGATACCTTCTTTGCAAATCCTCCGAGTCGCCGCACGGCTCCGGGCGAAGCCTCAGAGCCGCCGGCCGCCGGCCGCGCCCAGATCTCGCAGCAGCGGCGGAGAAAGCGCCGGCGCAAGTGCTGGCAGGGCCAGAGCCTGAGACTGTCGGCAGCTGCCGGTCCCCGGCCCCACCCCGCTAAACAGCTGCCACTGAAAGGCCCTAGAAGGCCCCTTTCGCCAAGCGACCAGCAAAGCGCCTGCTGGCTGCTGCAGGTCCGCAGAACAGCCTCCTGCATCTCCACAGTGAGACCCTGGCAGATTTGCACGTCAGGTGCCGCAAGCACTTGTTCACAGAATCCTGCATCCGGAACCGCATGTCCGGCCGGCATGTGGTCAATTAAGCAACTTCGCAAAGGTCGGGCCTTGTTCAGAAGTATCAGCGTCTCATCCCAAAAAATGTTGCATAGCACCTTGCAGGACGAGCTTGCAAAAACCGCAAGTGAAATCAAAACCTGCACGCACCTTCACGCGTTTCCACTTGGACAGGCATGTGGGATCGAAGTAGCCGCTCGCAGCTTCTTCTTTTTGAGCCTTCTTCTTGTTCTTCCCTCTTTTGACCTGACCGACGAAGGCGACGACGGAAGCTAAGCAAAACTCAGACGTCTGCCTGCTCCTCACCCGCATAGATCTTGAGCAGGCCAAGGACATTGCCCAAGCACCACTCCAAGACTTCGGAGAACGTGGCCTCCCACTTATGCTGCGAGCTTAGGTTGTGCTGGCGACCGGCCTTGGGCATTAAGATCTATGAGGGTGTACGTCTGCAGCCATCTTGAGACTGCAGCACACCTGCAACAGCCAGGACCTACTCGTCGATAACTGCGAGGCTTAGTCTTGGCAACACGAGGATGGAAATGCACCGAGAAGGACCTTCCGGCAGTTCACAAGTCATTCGCCTCGAACCACAAAGTTTTGGACTCAGGAGCGAAGTGCCCCGATCAGCCATTTTCGAAGATTCGAAAACCTGTCGAACGCCTCATCCTCGATCGTCATGGCCCCACGAGAGCGCTTCTTCTTGAAGGAGCGGCGCCTGACAAGAGTGATGTTGCAGTGACCATGACGGCGGCCCCGACTGCAATAAGAATGCAGCACGAGCGGAATCTTGCTATAGAAGGGGAGCAAACTCAAGTAGCATAGCAGCATATTGGACAACGATCTATAGCAGCAGTTCTCGTCCATATCTCGATGATTCTTCTGTTGAGCCCGAGCATTTGTTGTCGTCACTGTTCGGAGCCTGTGTTTCGCACGCAGTTGCACTGCTTCTCTCGGGCCAGGGGCTTTGGATTTGGAGCTCAGGGTTTCTGAACCTTTGGAAGTCCCAACCTACTGCAACCCTTTCTGACTACGGTTCAACTTTATGCAACGCCTATACTTGGGAGATGCTGCCAAACTTGCAGTCGGCTTCTTCTAACACGTCTGCTGTTGTGTATTTTAGGCAAGTTGTTGCCTGACATGGACATTATTGACTCTATCAGAAGCTGTCTTCATTGTGATCCTTGCCCTTGCACGGCTTGGTTGTACGTTTTTTTGTCAGACTGCGACTATCGAATTTTGGTGCAGTCTGTATCGGCGTCATTGAAGTTCGAAACCCTCGAGACTTGGGGCGGCACACCCGGAACAGTTGGACCCCTCTGAACCCGTAAGCACTGAAATCTCCAAATCACTTGTCTTATGTGCACTGACTCTTCCTTTCATGTTCACTTCTGGTGGAACAACACCGACTTTGCATCCCGGCCTCGCTGGCGCCTCGTCGCCCTCCTCTTTTGCCTGGCATAAGGGCAAAGAGCAGTCCAGTGTTGAGGGCAGCGAGAGACTGACACAGAGAAGAACACAGAGAGGTGGGAGAGAGAGGGAGACAGAGAGAGCGTAGACGGGACAATCTTGTGACCGTTGTCTTGTCGGGGAGGTGTCGGGGGTATCTGTTGGACTGGCCTAACTATTTTGACGGCCTCGAGGTCGGGATCGATAGATCGTACCGCCGTGTGGTAGGCGTTGAGAGCCGCCTGAACATCGAGGCTTTCTTCCCATGAACTCTAGCCTGTGCCACAGAGAAGCCCTGAGAGTCACAGCCTTGAAGGCAGTGAAGGCCTTCGGCGCTGAGTTCCTCGGTTCGCACTGACCCCCCGAGATTCTTTCGGAGTGGCAAATAAAAAAAGCCAAGGGGCTCAATCTGCTTGAAACGCTCCAGTGTCAGCTGTCGCGCTGAGCCCGAGGAGGTGCCCGTTGACTCCTCCTGGTCGAGCCGACAAACATCCGAGAACATCTAGATTGATGTACACTCACCAACGACGAGCGATGAAAGAACGTCTGTGCACAGAAGCGCTCCTGGACAAACGTTCCTTCGTCTTCATCTTCTTCCTGGTCCTTCGCGCACAAGTCGAAGCTGACCCACTATCTAGATTCCTTCAGCCGACAGACACCATCGCCAGCACCAGCCCACAACGGCCCACAACCGCACAAGCGGAGATGATGCACGTCACTACGGCACACAGAGGCATCTCTGGCAAGAAAACATCTTTGGCTTACCGGCCAGCACCTCTTCGACTGCCTCCTCTTCACCATCCTCAGACGCGGCATCGGCAGCGTCAGCTTTGAAATCGAGGAGCTGTTGATCCTGGGACGTGATACATGTGCAACTGGCGGAGAGCTGAAACAAAAAGATCCAGCGACTAATTGGTGAAGCGACGGCACTATGCACCTCATAGGTTACTGGAGGGTGCCGCACGGGGGACATATTGGGCCAAAAAATGCCTGCAAGGACTTTCGTCTGTTCAAGAGAACGGCTCCTCTTCAACCAGGAACTTGTAAAACTCGGGATCCTGCTCCTGTCAAGCCAGACGAGGGCACAAAAGCTGCGCATGTCTTTGGTGGACAGTTGCGCGAGCCTTGATGGCCTGTAGCTCTTCTACATGCCGTGCAGCTGCACCTTCACAATCGCAAAACTCACTCCATGCTTCTTGAAGAAAGTGCGAATTAAAACGAGGTGTCCCTTGCTGGCCTTTTTTTCCAACGAGCTTCGCCGGCTTGCCGGAAACGGCCTGCATGGCAGTCTCTTGTACAGTACCTTCTGAGTTTCCTCCGATCATGTACTGCCCGTGTACAGCAGCGTTTCTGCAACTCCGCCCCTGTGGGAAGCAGCAGCCATGCACAGACAAAGCAATCTCATTCCGAACGTGACCTTTGCAGATTCATGAACTTGTCATGTGCAACAGCCCTGCAAGCTAAAGCAATATTGACAATCTGGATGGTCCTTGAACTTGCACGAGGGATGGCACCCTTCCACCGAAACGGCCGGCGATGACTTGGACTTCTTCGGCCTGTCAGAGTTCAACATGTCACCCAAAGTATCGGTTGTGCAATTTAGATTGGAGTGTGCATTTCAGTTGCACTGAGTGCCCATTGGTCTTGCAAGCAAACACGAAATGCCAGGCCTGGGAGTGCGTGGCATTGCCAAGCCCACAAGCACGGTAAGTACACATCATCAACGAACTTGAGCAGCTGAAATGCCAAGGTTTAATATCGTCACCCGACCCAACCTGCACCACGAGGCAAGTCTGACTGCATACCATGGAAGAAAACGGAGAAAAACACAAGGCTGCCTATATGTCCCAAAACCAAACCCGATTGCGCCGTTCCTCCAGTGCAGCCACACAAGAGTTCATCAAAATTTGCTGGCTTTCAACTACATTACATGCATAAGAGCAGTTTTACAAATGACAACACTTGCATCTTCACTTCACATCTGTGGCATGGGCAACGAAAAATTGACTTTGCTCCATCTAACTTCAATAAACCCAATCTGGCACAGCAGTTTGAACAAACAAAACGAAATATGTGAAAGACGCACCGGGGACAGTTCCAGGCACACGTGCTGTTTGGCAGTTTCGAAGGTACATGTGCTGCAACAAGCTTTTCTTGAGATCCGCAGTGTGAGTTTCTCGGTGAGCTCATCAACTTGGACAACTGCCTCGGCGTGTTGGCGCCAGGGCAGCACTGCAGCAGCTGCTTTGCAGGCCGCATCCGCTAAGTCATTGAGGCGAACCCTCCAATGATTAGGGCCATGATTAGGTTCCCATATCGCTTGATACTCGTCCGGGCACTTCGGGTGCCACGTGATCTGGAGGCGGTGCTGGTCCTCCCTCCTCCCAGATGCGTGGTTGGGCCTGAAAATGGTTTTCAGTGCACCAAACCACCCAAACAAAAGAAACAAGAGCCATCAAGAGCCACAGGTTCGGCACTGTTTGGCATCCCGACTGTCAGGCGAGTGGGCAGAGAGACCGGTGTTTGACTCCAAAACTTCTTTATGCACAAGATGGCTTGCACGTGGCTTGCGAGAACCTGCACTGGGGAACTCACAGTGCACCAAAACCGCAAAAACCGAATTCTAGCTGCTGATTTTGCGAGAATAACAGACAGAACAAACAAATTGACAAGCTTCAAGCCCAAAAGCCTTTCTTTACTTGGTCAAACTGGGCAGAGGCAGCTCTTTTCGTTCCAATTTGCTCTTCGAATTTAGCACCACCAGAATCGGCAATTGGAATTGTATGATAAATCACAAACAAAAAAGAATTTTGTTGTTTTTACAATTTTGTTTTAGTTTTATAAAAATTGAGCATTTTTGTTGAATATGAGCATTTTCTTGAATATACAATGTTTCGCAACAGATTTATAGCGATCTATTTTACAGCTAAATTTCGATTCATGAAAAAACATACAGAATTTCTTTCTTGCTGTTTTGACCCATCAAAGGGATAATCAGCTGTTTTTTCGAGACAGAATGTCTTGGTGGTTGCCCTTGGTTCAAACAGTTGAGAGAATTTGCGCACCACACTATAAACGTGGAGTTGACACAGATCGCTTCAATGCCAGAGAACCGATGCATGCATGGTAGCAGCAATGGTGGGGGAAAAGCAACGGCGATGTGGCGGTTGCTGCGGCTCTTGAGCGTCGAGCGGAACGCTGTCTGCGTCGCATCCACGCGGCGATTGTGACCTCGTCGAAAACGAGACCACTGCGGTTGGCACGGTCGGTCCATGATGATCTCGGTTTGCCCGACCGCCAAGCTAAGATTGATGAAAGTGAGGCAACTCGATTTCTGCTGGTCCGAGTGGACTCCATCTCATGCGTGCCAGTCGCAATACATGCAGCCCCTCTTCGTTGGAACCCGGATGGAGTGATGATGAGCGGAAGATTGCTTGAAAAAGAGACTGCTGCGTGAGCTCTGCTTTTCACATGGTAGCGGAGCTGACCTACTCCAAGGCTGTATGATTAGCTCTCGGCTTCGTTGTCGCGATGTAGGAGGCGCACCGGCGAGTCAGGTGCCAGTCCCGGATAATACTCCAGAGTTCGACTTGTTCGGACCTGGCCCTGCGAGTGCTCCTGAGAACCCGTTTGCGACGCCTCCGGGGGTTACTGCGAAGGCTTCTCCTGCAGGCAGCCCTGTTGGTAGCCAAGGAGGTCCAGTTCCTGCGTTTCAGCAAGCAGCGTTTGGTACTGCTACTGCTGGAGCCCCTGTGCCACCGAGTGCGGGTGCAGGAGGTGACTTTCAAAGCATCATGTTAGAGATGCTTAGGCAACAGAATCAGACGACCATGGAAATGCTCCGTCAGCAAAGTCTGGCGATGCAGCAGAATCAACAGATGTGTGCGGCGATGCTTCGTCGTATG